TGATCGATTTTACAGCTTTGAATGCATGTATTGTTTGTTTTATGGGTTTACGATTGAACTGGAAAAAAAAGGGAGATTAAAGAAAAACGAAAAATTGCGTGATTAAGGAAATGGATGAAACAACAGTTTTACTGGATATCCTAAGAGATGGTAAACAGACCGAGTGCATAGGAAACCCTAAAGTGAATGTTGCCTCATACCGGATGAGGAATCGAGATTTGATAATTTGACGCTCATCTTAAACGGGGTATGGGGATGACCCGTTTCACCTTCATACCGGACGGAGTATTGAGATTTAATGATTTGGTGCTCATAATAGACGGAATATCGGGACAACCCGTTATTTGAAAAGTTAAAGGAAATGGTTCACGTGTTGTAGGCACATCCCTATGAACCCCCCTGGATACCAGTAGGCTAATAAAGAATAGAATTGTTATTCTAATCAATTACATATAAAATCATGATATGAGTTATGTTATTGTCTCTATAACATAACTCAGATCATGTTATGATAAATGAATTTGTTCACGTTCTTCTCTATTTGTATTAGAATCAATAAAAAAAGTTGTCAAGTATCATTAAATTTAACATATAATCTCACTACGGTAAGTAGACGACAAAATTTTTTGTTTATGATAAATGAATTTGTTTAATTAAGAGCTTTATTAGATGTTTTGATTTTTCTACCAATCTTCATTTCTGTGTCGGTAGTAGTGTGATATTCTTACTAAACTAGTGTAACTCATTCCTTATTTAACAATTTCAAATCAAGAGGATCAGGATTCAGAGTTCGATCCATAAGAGGATTGCAAGTAGGATACCAGTTTTATTTATTTTCCATTTATTTCCTTAATTTTTTTGTATTTCCTTCAAAATGGTAATTTTCGTAACACTATTTAGTACTTTAAGTTATTGTGTAAAGAATGTAAACCCTAACTAATTATTTCGCTTTCGCACTTAATTTATGATTTATTTTCTTTAAAATTTCGAAGTCATTACATAGATACGTATATACCATCACACACAATATATCATATATATATATATATTTATTCACGTATTTATTCTTATCAGTTATGTTCTTATCAATTCATATGTCGTTCATCGTATATTTTTGTATATACACACACACACATGCGTAATAACGTATATATATACATACACTATATAAACACACACAAATACAAATTAGACATTAATTATATTCATATTACATTACACATATATTTAAACATTCATACATAATGCATTACAGATGTACACATTTACATTAACAAATAATTTATGTTTCCGTACGGAATACACATAATTTTTTTCATATATAATTAATTATGTATATTATTTCTTTTTAATTTTTTTTCTATTCTACCCAGCTGGATATTACATTATTAATTAAAAGGTACTTCTCCTCTATTAATTCATTTTAATTAATTTATTTACATAAAGACAACGTTATAGATCGTGTATATGTAAAGTACTTTAAAAATGTAGCTTAACCCTAAAATCAGGTGTTTTTTGATTTGATAATTAAGAAAATGCAGGAGACCACCACTAGACAACTGGCCACAATGTCGGTCATCACCAACTGCCAATTCCTGGTTGACTTTGACAATAATATCCAATTTTCATATATTAAAATAAATAAATAAATATACACACACATATATATATATATATATATGAACACAATGATACAGTTTTCCTTACATAAACAAGAAAAAAAAAAATCATTTTAAGAATTAAAATAATAATCTATATTAAAAAATACAACGATATATGTCGGCTTAGAAAGAAATTAAGGGAATTTTAATAATTCGATATTGATTAGATATATAATTGTTTATATGTGTTTATTTATAAACCTATTTTAATTTTAATCAGAAGATGATTAATTTTGCATTAAACCAAATTAACAAATAATTAATCTTTAGGATACTGAAACATATGAAAAGAAGGATTAACAACGGTAAAACCTCCATCAATGAACAGATTATGTCCACTGATATACCTCGCCTCATCGCTTGCTAAGTAAAGAGCGGCATTAGCAATATCCTCCGTCTTCAACGTCACCCCTTTCAAATTCGCTACAGAGTTCATTATCTTCTCCAGATCTTCCTCTTCAGCCCCAACAAATTTCCTCGCTAATGGCGTCGAACACGCATACGGCGACAGACAATTAACCCTAATCCCAAACTGTCCCAGATCCACCGCCAGATTCCTCGTCAGTCCCAGCACCGCATGTTTCGAGCAACAATAAGCATGCGATGCCGCTGCGGCGATTCTGGAACTTACACTCGCCGTCGATATAATGCTACCGCTGCGAGCCGGGATCATGACACGTGCGGCGTGTTTCATCCCCAAGAAAACGCCGGTCACGTTTATGCTTAGAACACGTTCGAAATCTGATTTTTCGTTGTCGAGTATGCGAGCTTTGCTTTCATCGACTATGCCGGCGTTATTGAACATGATGTCGAGCTTGCCGTGAGATTTGACGGCTTTGTCGACGGCGTTTTTTATGTGGGTCTCGTCGGTGACGTCGCAGTGGATGTATGTGGCAGTTGATGGGCCTAAGGAGTTGCAGAGTGATTGGCCTAAATCGTCTTGGATGTCGGCGATTATGAGTTTGGCGCCGTGGTGGGCGAAGAGTTTTGCGGTGCATTCGCCGATGCCGCTGGCTCCGCCGGTGATGAGGGCTACTTTTCCTTGCAGCCTGGTCAATGGGGAGAGAGGGTATAAAATGGAATTATGAGGATTTGTTGGGTACCATTTGGAAATTTCAAGAAATGAAGATATCTCAAACTGCTACCGTTCTATTCCATGAAATAAAATGAGAGAAGGGTTGCAGAAAAACCGATTTGAAGAAGATGAAAATCACTAATCATTCATCTCTATGAAATATATATGTGTGTGTGTGTGTGTATGCACATGCACAAAAATAGAAATAAAACCAGTTCAGTATATATAGCACGGTAACTGAAAAGCAAGGATAACGTATCCTACTCACCACAAAGCATAAAAAATTATGGAGACATACATACATGTGCATATATATATATATATATATATATATGTACACATATACATAGAGCTTTTGGGTACCTTTTGGAAGCAGTGGAGAAGAAGGATGAAGCTGCCATTGTTGAGATCCTTGAAGTAGAGAGCGGGGAGAGTGATGTAGCCTAAGAAAGTGTGTGTATATATATACATATATAGGAACGTGTATTTATATATCTTTCCTCGAATTAAGTAACTGACCTACGTCTCTTGACATAAAATCTATATATATATTTATATACAAGTAATAATTTAACATTAATTTCTCGACTTAATTTAATGCAACAATTATCGGTATACGTAGTGCCCTATAATGTGACAAATCAAGGACGGCTTGGTCGGGAGGGAACCAAGATGCGTTCATTTAATTGTTAATATATATGTGTATATATATATATATATATCATATATGACATTTTCATTTGGTTTTTGAAAAGAGATATAAATAATTCTATAAACGACAAACACTTGTACAAAGGAATCTTAATCTTCTTCTACTAACCATACAACTAAAAGTAGAAGAAGATTAAGATTCCTTTGTACAAGTTGAATTTCGTGTACATGTAGAACTCTAACGAGTTTAGTATCGTTTTCTTTGATAACGATTGATATTTTACTAATTGAAATGAGAAGCCGCTTAAGAATAATATATAATTTTTGTCAAATGAGTTCTTATATGGGATACCGTTCGCAACACTGTTGTTATCGACATTCTCTCTTAGTGCATATATTAACATAATATCTTGTTGACAATGGAGATTACAAGGCTTATATTGTTAATATATATATTTTTTTATTTTTTAATTTATTTAATTATTTTAATTAATTTTTATAATTTTTTATTGTCACGTTTTTATCTATTTGTATTAGAATCAATAAAAAAAATATCAAGTATCATTAAATTTAACATATAATACTAAATTTAACGGCGTTAATAGTGGATTCAAGAGATTCATTAAATTAAAATTTTATCTAAAATATAACAAGTAATTTAATCAAAAATTAAGACAATAATTAACCATATCATTATTTTTGTTTTTGTTTTACACACCTACATCATTCAAGAGAAAATCGTGCGCACCTCTTCTGAGTATATATAAGTCATAATAAATGATAAAAATATTAGATATTATTATTGTATAAAGTGAAAATATAATATAAAATAATATATCATATATATATATATATATATATGTGCATGTAAGTTGGGTTGGAGGCGACCCACAAACCGGACCCAACTTGATAAATGAAAGTCCATTATTAGGGCGGGGCCTAATTTTGGGCTTGACCGTACATACACGACCCGACTCAGTATGTTTCTGATTACATTATTTGTATATATATATAAATTGCTTATATATATATAGTTTTAACTCTGTTAATTTTTAAATAATCTCTCTTTAATTCAATATAGCAAGTAACATTTTTTTAAAAAAAATTTCTCTTTTTCTTATGCGTGTTGACTTGTTCACAAAATTTAATTTTTTATATTTTCTCTATAAAAAATATCAACATGTCATCCATTAATTTTAATTTTAGGTGTTAATGGGCAACAAGAGCTTAACTTTCTCTCGTATTAAAATATAATCGTATTTGTAGCTTTCTTTTGATAGCTTTTATGATTATCAAAACGTGATTACTGAAAGATTGACATATTAAAATATAATATATTTATCGAGAAAAAAATTAGTGTTGATTTTTTGACGAAATTTATATTTTTTTAGTCCCTTTTGACTCATACTATACTACCTAAATATTATGAGAGATAATTTTTAAACTTTTTTCTTATTCTTTGTGCTTGTTCGCATTTTTCTCCTTCTTTAAAACAAAATAAAAAATAGAGAAAATAAAACCAACTTGATCAAATATTTGACTTTGAATTTATACTATATGAACACACACATCACATTATTTTTAGTTAAGATGTCAATTTTGAAAATTAATATTTAACTCCAAATATCATGTGTCACGTAGCTTAAACCCAATTTGTGTAATTTTTATATTTTAAAAATATTTTTGCAATTAAATTAGTAAGAGACAAAAATAATTTTGGTAATAACTATTAAAAATTTATATAGTTAACTTTTATTTATTTTTTTTAAATGATAATATTTTTTTACATATACTTATACTAACCACCAAATATCTTTTGATTAAAAACATTTATAATCAATAATCACTTTTAACAACATTTTGAACACTCATAACATAAATTACAACTCACTCAAATAACCCAAGATTCTTATAGACTTTATTTTTAAATGCATATTTAGTGGATGATAAGAATCTTTCTTCGGCCGTAAAACTACACCGTTTTCCTCTTCCCAAAATGAGGTATATTTATACCTAAAACTTTACCAAACAGAACTTTAAGCAATTGCAGTAAAAGCCAAATTTTGGTCAGTACACCGCCATTGATAATCTGAACAAAGGTCGGGTTGACCACACTGTAACCTCCATCAACGACAAGGTTCATCCCAGTTACACAACTTCCTCCATCGCTCGCCAAATATAGAGCCGCCTGCGCCACCCCTTCTGCTCTCAGAACATGTCCCTTCAGATTCCCAGTTTCACTCATTACCATCTCGCCGCAAATCTCCATAAATTTATTTGGTGGTCCGCCGATGGCCGTCGGCACCGCGTACGGCGACACACAGTTTACCCGTACACCATATTGCCGCAGCTCGGCCGCCAATTTCATAGCCAGCTCCACAATTTCATACTTCGTCAGTGTGTACGCCGGAGTTCCGAGCCCTGCGATCTCCGTCGCAGCACTGGCCGTGAAAAGAATACAGCCTTTGCGATTAGGCACCATGACTCTTGCCGCGTGTTTGGCTCCTAAGAAAGAACCGACCACGTTGACCCGAAGAACTCTTTCTAAATCTGCCTTTGTGGTGTCAAGAATTCCGGCGAAAGGTTGGTCTATGATGCCGGCATTGTTGAACATGATGTCGAGGGTTCCGTATTTGTCTATGGTGGTGTCGATGAGGCTGCAGACGTCGTCTTCGTTTGCGACGTCGCAGTGGATGTAGCAAGCATTTTCTCCTAATTTATTGGCGAGAGCTTGGCCTGGACCGTCTTGGAGGTCGGCGATGACGACTTTGGCGCCGTTTTTGTGGAAAATTTGAACTGAGCTTGCGCCTATGCCGCTTGCTCCGCCGGTGATAATCGCCACCTTGCCCTCTAACCTAGCAAAATATATAATCGAGCAAATTTATCGTAAATTGCAGCGATATATATCAGCGAAAAGTGGAAATGGATCTTGTGTTGACTGAAACTAAGATTCTTACGTCCAACGATCTTCTTGAAATTGATCATTTTGAAATGAAATTACATGTGAAAGGATTTAGACCCAATTTTACAGTTGATAATAAAATAATTATTAATTTGAAATGTTTACCTCCTTGAAATTGCAGATACAGAAGGCGTCGCTGCTGCTTCCACCATTGTTGAATGAGAAGGAAAGCTTTAGTCTGTTTGCCGTTGTATGCATCTGCGTCTGTGTGTGTATATATACACGTATGGAAGCCAAAAAAAAAAAAAAGCTTAATATAATATTTACATTGTCTCTCTTTTTTACTGCTTGCGTATGACTTTTCTTTGTTATTTTGCTTTCCTCTTAATAGATTCTTGCAAGGTATCGTGTGAATAGATAGAAATGACTCGGTCACTGAGGAACAATACAGATAACTTCTTCCAATAATCATATATGTGTATATATATATATATAGATATATATGTATCGTGTGAATATATATATATATATATGTATATACTTTTGTTTTCTTATAAAAAGTTATATTAAGTTAAGTTATGCGTCTTTATGTCTTCTTATGATTAAAATATTATATTATAATTTATGCGTTTATCTTATTTAATAAATAAAATATTTAAATTCGCATTTGAAATGATATAATCATGTAACTTTAGTTTTTTTGAGATTTTGATTTTTTAGGGTCAGATAATACATTTTAAATTTTATTAATTTTAATTAAATTGGTGTTGTACAATAAATTATTTTTTGTCATTTCATTTAAATATTATTATAATTAAAATAAATATGAAATGTTGACTATATTTCATAAATATATTTAATTTATCACAAATATAACAATTCCATCATTAGTCTTTTTTAAAATTAATTGTTATATAACTAATTTTGTTAATCAATGTTAAATTTTAGTTTTAAATATATTTTTTTATAAATAAATCTTCAAAAATTTTAAATTTATTTCAAAAGTCTTATAGGAAAAAAGATATTACTCAGTTACTTGTTTGGATGAAAAAAAATATTTTTGGATCTATGATCTTTTAAGTAGCATTAGATTTTTTTTTTAATTAACATTAAAATTTAGCATATTAAATTAATTTTATTTTTTATAATTATTTTAACTATTCCCATGATCCATAATTTCTTTAAACAACTCTTAAAATTTAAAAACTAATTAATAACCAAAAATACATCTAGAAATAAATTGTAGTATTTGGAGACTAGATATTTACCCGAAATAAGTGAATCTTAAGTAGAAGAAATGATATTAGTTAATAAAAATTATGATACAACAAATTTATCACTAATCAAAATTAAAATACAACTAATCCGGAATCTGGGTAGTAGAATAAATTCAAAGAATGATTAACAATAGTATAGCCTCCATTAATAAAGAGATTATGCCCACTCACATACCTCCCCTTTAAGACTCACCTCTTTCAAATTATCGAGTTGGCTCACAAAATCCTCATGTAACAGCCCGAATTCTAATGTAGGTGGGTACGGATATTAGCACAATACTTTTAACTAGTGAAACAGATAAATATTAAATATGCAGCGGAATTACACTTTAATACATATCCCTTGTGACATAATAATTATGTGTTTACAATAATTGAGACATATAAATTAATTTATAATATTAAAATAAATACTAATAATTTTTTTCTTCACCATCTTCTATTGTTCTTGAACTTGTTCCTCATCTCATTTGACCTAAACGATGGTGAATTGGGATGAACTTCACGAGCTCAGTAAGAAAAAATAATTATATAACGTAGATTTATGTACATATATTCATGCGATATATAAAATATAGTAATATTTATAATAAAAAAATATCAAATAAAGCATTCCAATCAAAATATAAAACAAAATAAATCATCACACGAAATATATTCTAATCCTAACTCTTATAACCTAATTCTTATTCTTATTTTAAATCACACTTACACTAGAAATATCACAATACATTTGAAATATTACATCTAAGGTTTCATCGTACGATGCCATTTATATCATCATCAACGATAGGCAAAATTGATCCCCCATCACGTGGATAGCACACACACAAAATTTCACATTGGCCACAGCAGCTGCGTTTGCTAGGTGACCCGCGCTCACAAATATTTATCAACGTCTGGAATAGGTTTCAAGCTTTATCCATTTGCAAATTCACCATACCCGCTGAACTTCAGCCACACACGCACCCTCCCCTCCTCGATTCAGACTAAACGAGTAGGTATCTAGAGTCCTTATACTCCACACTCTTTTCAAATCTCTCTTATTTATAACTCACTCAGTTCAGACTTAAAATCTCAATTTCTATGCATAATTAAATACAAATACATACACATACAAAATACACGATATCATCACGCATATAACAGCTATATATTTCAAATCACTTTCTAAATTATCATGTACCAGATCACTGTAAGCACAGGATTCTCAAATTCCTCACGCAACTGTACTAGATCACACAGTAAGTACAATGTATCGTAAATTTGTACCAGATCATACAACAAGTGCAGTGTACCCAAATTCTACATGTACACATATTGGTTATACATTTCACATGCATAACACATGTACACACATTAATACACATATATATTATAATACAGACATGTATCGTCACTACATATCTCAAACAAAATATATATTTATATTCACACACACACAATCTCTACAAATACATACAAACACGTTCATACTTAAACGCGTAAAAACAATCACACAAAATATACTATATACATATTTATTCACACATTTGTTCTCATCAGTTATGTTCTTATCAACTCTGTTCTTATCAATTCATATCTCATTCATTGTATATTTTTATATATATACACACACATGTGTAACAACGTATATATATACACACTATATATAAATACAAATTACGCATACTAATTATATTTATATTGTATTACACATACATTTAAACATTACACATAATGCACTATACATATACACCTTTACATAAATATATAATTTATATCTCCCTACGGAATATGTAATGTCTGGGCCCAGAATTCGGCCAGAGATCAATTTTTGTGTTATAAAAATAATTAAAAATATTAATTTTATTTAATTTTATTAAATTATTTTAAAAATAGGTTAGGGACATAATTGAAAGCAATTTCAGGGAAACTGGGTGAAAATTTGAGTTCAATGGATATTTTTGAAAGAAAAATTAGAAATATGGGATAAAAATGCAAAAAAAAAAATTGATCACGCAGAACGGCCCTGTCAATAGCCCCGACGAAGTAGAGCATGCCACGTGGCAAAATACGCTGATGTTGGTGCCACGCAGGCGATCCGCATGCCCAGCAATCCGACTGTCCAAATTCGATCTCATGCGTGTGAATGGCTCCAATGCATTCCCATCTTAAGTGTGATCGGACAGACGAGATCAATCGCAAAGAACGACCCAGATCCGCCCACGCAATCGACCTAAATCGGCAACAATCAGACAACTTTTTTCCCTCCATATCGACACGAATGAATGGTCTAAATCAATGTAGGATAAGTATATAAATATTGCGTGTCACGAGAACCCTAAACCTAGCCGCCCTGCCCTCACTAGAGAAGAAGGACTAGCCATCGGAGAAGGAGACCGACCCCCAGCCACCTCCGCCACCACACTAGAGCCAAATTCAACCACTAAAAAAGGTAAATTCTCCCTTACACTCTCATAATTTGATTTTGAATCTCCTTGTGACCATATCAAAATAAAAGAGACGGTGAATGAATCGAAAATTGCGGATAAAGTCCAGCGGAGCTGCCACGACCAAAACCCTAAAACCCCTCTAATGAGCCCCTTCCCGCTTTCCGTTTCACAAAAATTTCTGACCATTGTATTCACCGTCCTTTTTTGTGCATGTTTTCCAAAGAAGAAATCTTAGCCGCGAAGGAGAACTGAGAAAGCTGCCACACCCGAAGACTCCTTTGCTGGTAGATTCTGTTTTTTTGTGATTTTCTAGCTAACCAAGACCCTCTAATGTATTTTTTCGCAAGGATACATGTAAAACTGGTTAAAACAGGCTAAAATCAGCCACGCTGAGGTGAATCACTGCCACGGGCGATGGAGCTGACACCGGAGCACGTCGGTACCACCATGCAGGAACCCTAAAATTGGTCGAGAGTGATTTTCAACATCGATTTGAGATTTTTGTAGTATTTTTAGTTGCGCGATGAGTATTTTGAATTTTCACATGAAAATTCAGGAAACATGGGACCCGTTAGGAGACAACGCAGCGTCTCGAAACACCGATCTATGTAAGAATCTCTCACTCTATTTTTGGTTATGATAAATTAAGGATTAATAATCGATAGTTGTATGTTTTGTAAAAAAATTAGAAAAACCTACATGTCACTAGGAGAGCCGAAACTGATTAGTTCACATTTGTCTTGATTTTCTATTTATTTTCCTATACTGCCTATATTTGCTCACTATTATACTGTGTGTAATTGAATTGATGGTTTTTATGGTCTTCTCGGTTATTTGGTTATTTAATTCCTCATGCGTTATTTATTTGGTATTCTGGTTATTGGTTATTTGGCTATACTAAACTATATCGTTTGTTTAAGTACCATTTGAATTAATATGTGAATATAAAATGAGATATTGGTATACTTTAGTCGTTGCCTGAATGATAAGAGTCTAAATAAATGAAAGTTTACTGACAATCTTGGGAAAGGGTGGACATATGCGGTATATAAGGAACCCTATTGTGGACATTATCTTAATCAAACAAGACTGAGAAATCCCATATCAAAAAATTTTTGGGAGATATAGTTTATCCTTATATCGGAGAGGGTATCAAGGTAATGGTGTTTTGGGTGCCCATTAGCGGACAGGGTATGAGGACTGCCTGATTAATTGTCAATCATGATAGTGGGTCCACGAGTAAAGGGGTATCCCTATGGACTCCTAGGGGTCTCAGTAAATAGGTTAAAAAGGAATGATTGCTTATCCTATGCATAAAATTAAAATATAATTTAGTTAATTGTTTTCAAGGTTGATTTTGGAAAAACTATAACAGTAAGTATCGAATAAATTTTTTTAAAATTAAATGTATTTATTTAAAACCAGGGCTCCATTAGTTATTTTCTAATTTTTACCAACCTTCGATTTTTCGTATCAGTGATTAGTATGATATTCTTACTGGGTTAGTGTAGCTCACCCTTTCATTAATCATTTCATA